TATGTGTCTCAGTTCTGGATTGTTTTTTGAGTTGTTTCCATGAAGCTTATGTAAAAGAAAGTTTCATATATACAGTAGTACTTTTTCTTCAGCATGCATATTATCTCCATTCCCCTTTGCAAATTCAGACCTTTACCCACTTCCTTTTATGTTTTTGTTGTCACACAGTATCTCTATTTATGTTGTGAGTTCATTTCTTAGTTACCATAGCAAATTGTCGTCTTCTCTTTCTTTTTATGTTTTATGCCCCCATAACTTCTATGTTATACTTATATGATTAGTGCCTTATTCTAAGTATGGGTTGCCATTTCCTGCTTCTGTCTGTCTGTTAGTCTGTTACTCATAATTTTGTGTCTTTTTGTCTTTTTGTTTCAGGTAGAATGACCCCCTTCAATATTTCCTGTAATGCAGGCCTTGTGGTGGAAAATTTCCTCAGTTGTGTATATCTGGGAAGGTCTTTATTATTCCTTCATATTGAATGGATAATTTTGCTGCATATATTATTCTTAGCTTGTAATGTCTCTCTTTCAATAATTTGAATATTTGATTCCACTCACTTCTAGCTTGTAGTGTTTCTGCTGAAAAATCTTATAAGATGATGGAATTTCCTTTGTAGGTTACTGAGTTCTTTTATATAGTTACCTTGAGAATTCTTTCTTTGTCATTAATGTTTGACAGCATCAATATAATGTTCCTTGTAGAAGGCCTTATAGGGTGGAGATAATCAGGTTTTCTGTTTGCCTCTTGGATTCAAGGATCCAGTACTTTTTACAGGTTTGGGAATTTCTTGTTGACTGTTTGAGTAGGCTCTCTGTTCCCTTCTCCATCTCTTCTCCTTCTGATATACCCACTATTCTTATATTGCTCTTTCTGATGCTGTCAGATAGCTCTTTCACATTTCTTTCATTTCTTTTAAGTCTCAAGTCTCTCTTCCATCTGTGTCATTTCCAAAGTTCTATCTTTGATATCACTAATTCTTTCTTGTATCTGGTCAGCTGTGTTTCCTAAGCTGCTTATTTGAGTCGTCATCTCTTTTATTGAGTTCTTTGGCTCCATACTTTCTATTTGATTATTTTTTTAAATTTCAGTTGCTTTGGTAAAATATTCATTTTTTTCATTAATTTTATTTCTGATTTCTTTAAACTGCCTATATGACTTTTCTTGCATCTCGTTGAGTTTTTCCATTAATGTAATCTTGGATTCTCTATCATTTATGTCACATATTTCCATGTATTTAAGTTTATTTTCTGGAGATTTTTAATTTTCTTTGTGAGCTGCCATGTTACCTTGGTTGTTCATGATAATTGATACATTATTTCTCTTCCTAGGCCTCTGAGGGGATGAATTCTGCAGTAAGTTGATACAGAAAGGTCTTTCTTTTGTCTTCTAGTAGGTGGTGCTACAGCATTTTATTTTCTCTTGTCGTTTTCTAGCTTTTCAGGGTGGCAGATTTCCTGGGGAAGTGGGTGTCTGCTCTGTGATTGTGTTGCCTCGGTCTTAGAGCACCACCCCCATGAGAGGATGTGGTGAGCAATGGGGTTCTGAGCCCTTGAAATTTTAGTGCTGCCCCTGCAGCCAGATACAGAGCTGTGCATCTCAGCAGCCCTTGGTGCCCCTGCTGTGATCAGCCAGGAAAAGTGGTGGTGAAGTGGGTTAGATGAGGCAGCTGGTGTGTTTGTGTTTTTGTTCTCCTCCAAGTAATGAATGCCTCACCCCTATGTCCCCTCCCTTGTCATGGGAATTAGCTGCAGTTTGTGTCTGCCACTCAGGAACTCTCTGTCCAGTTCTGAGGGCTGTAGATAGTCTGCTCTTTAATCTGACACTCCTTTCTACAGTTTCCGCTGGGCCAGCTGCTTGCTCTGGTAGGCTGGGAGGAGGTGGCCAGGCTCCAAGGCTTTGTTTTCTACCTGGCATTGCAGGCTGCTAGACCACAGCTGTTGCACTTCTGTATTTTGCCTTTGTCAGTTGTTCTCTGCCACTGATTGCTGGGTTCAGCCATATTATATGCCGATCACTCAGGCAGGAATGCTCAGAACCACAAAGAGTGCAGCTGCAGCCTGAATCCTTCTGTATCTGGGGGCCACAGTGAACTCTGGGCTGCATCTAGGACAGCCGTCTCTGATTTTCTCCCTTCCCTCCTCTCCCGTTTGCCCCAATTTTCCCACCTTCAGATGTTTCGATGTGCAGATCTCCCAATGTGTTTGTGTATTGCCCAGGGAAACCTTTGTTGAAGTATAGGTCTTCAACTTGTTGAAACTTCAAGGGGAGCGATCAAGGGGGACTCCTCATGTTGCCATGTTTCTGATCTCCTCTATTACTTGTTCATTTCATACTATATTATATATACTAGTTTCCCCTTATGTAACCTCTAAATTACTTCATCTCCCTTAATAGCTCTTATTGAAAATAAAATTATTCTCTTAATATAAATCAGTTAATATCAATACCACCATTAAATACTTAGATTGTTACTGAATTTCTCTCATCTTAGCTAGAATTTAGTTTTCATTACATTAGTAAACTGTATTCACTTACTACCATATTCCCAGTGCCTTGAAGAATGGTGTGACCATATTAGCCACTGAATGTTGGCATGCCAAGAATTAACAAAATTGTCTTAAGTGCCATGAATTTTTATGAAGCATAATTTAGAAACTATTTTTTCTATCCATACATGAGACATTTAGATTTGAACCTTCCTAAAAGCATTTTGAAATATCATTACAAAAATAAAACGATCATTAATCACTAATTTTTTATCAAATTATAATAGCAAATACTGTATTTATTTATATTTAATATTATTGTTATAAAATTACATTTTTCTTAAAATACACAGTTGAAGAATAGATTTCAGTTTGCTAACTTTCACACTTGTAAGTAAATATGACATGACAAATGTTTTCCTTGCTATATACTTTATTAAAAGAAAAGGCAGATTGTTTATCAGTTTATATGAATGAAATATTAACATAACGTTCATTTTAGTTGTATGAAACAAAAACAAGATAACCAATATAGATTGACTATTTCATATGACTTTTTTTTAATAACATTGGAGCAAACTGATGATTTTAATTCATTATATCTGAAATACCACTTTAAATTTCATAATAAACATCTAATTCTTCCACCAATATATATTATGGTTCTGGATTTGAGTAAAAGTATAAGTGAATCTCGGCACAAAAAATAAATTTGCAGAAATATCTTCAAACAATTCATAAGGAAAAAGATGATTGTACTTGAGAATTGTATATATTATTTATAGACAATTATAACACTTCTGTAAATTACTAAAGGTATTATAACCATATAATCTTAAATATTCTAGTGGTCCCTAAAAACCTGATATAATGTATAGTTGCTAAATTTTAGGATCTTGTTTTACAAATTGGTATGACAAAACTATGAAAAAAAAAGAAAAACCTAAAACGGGGTCAAATATACAAGTATGGTGATGGAAGGAGAACTGACTGGGTGGTGAACACACAATGTGATATAAAGATGATGTATTACATAATTGTACACCTGAAACCTATGTAATTTTACTATTATCTCCCCAATAAATTTTAATTAAAAAAATACCTAAGATTTTATCCTGTTCTTCTATGACACAGCACATAAATATGAGATCGATAACTGATCTTTGCCACATGTCAGCAACTTTTATGTCAAAAAAAATTTACTGAAGAAGTAAACACTCTGTGTGTGTGTGTGCGCACGCACACATGTGTTTTTGGTGTGTGCATGGGTTCATAAATCATCACCTAAAGAATCTTAAGGTCTTCATCTGATCTTTTCTTTACAATGATATCATGTTCATGTCTGTCAAAGTGATACAGTAATGCTGAATAGTACTGCCCTTGACAGCCAGTCAACACTACTCTTTAGTCAGCTAGAAAGATAACTATTTATCTGGGCAGGGTTTATCTTATTGTAGTTCAGAGAGGGGGATTTAAAATTTTTTTATTTAATTCATTTTGATAAATTGATCCTTATCACCATTAAACTATTTGACTATTAAAAAACTTAAGAGTATGAGACCCTTTGCGCACTGATAAGCAGCAGCACCTAAGAGAGCCCATGCACACTGATTAAGTATTTTACAAGCTTATGTTAATTGAAGCACCTTAGGTAGTTCAACCACCAGAGACTTCTTTAAACATTCACATAATCTGATTTTAATGGGCTTAAAGAGCATATAGGTGCTATATCCAATTTGACATTTTGGTATGTGAGTTTCAGTCCATTGTGCTTACTCATTAAAACAAAATAAGTTAATCAAATAATATGTTGTTAATCTCCAAGAAAAATTTATTTTCAACACTTGTTCCTATAGGAAAAAAAGAAAGAGGAAATTCTGTATATTTTACACAAGGTTATAATCTTAGAGTTTCATTTTCTCCCTGCAGCAAAGGTTTTAGCTGCATTTATTAGATGTGATATATGTACTACTGTCTTGGATGAATGAATATTTTATACTTGGTTGTTACTTTTGATGGTGAAAAAGCATCCCGGACAACTGAAATCTACAGTGAAATATTTCAATTCATTTGGAGTAACCATGGTTAATTTACTTACAACGTCATTCATCGTGTGAAACTTAGGGATAATTCTTTTTTAAAAATGTACATACTTGGTCCTTTGGAAAACTTTAATATTGTAGTTTACATAAATGAGTTACATTCATTATCACAAAGTGCTACAATCGCTTCTCGGCCTTTTGGCTAAGATCAAGTGTATTATCACAAAGTGCTACAGCTTTAAAAGCCCTCAGAATATTTTCTAGCACAACTCTTTAATTTTACAAATGCCTAGAGATGTTAAGCAACTTGCTTGTAGTCATAATATTGGTTATAGGCAGAATTTGGGACTTAGAACTTAAGTCTTCTGACATCTATTTCTGAGCTAATCTTATGTCATATGGCTTCAAGAAATTGAGAATGTGTCTCATTACATAATAACATAAGTTAAATGTTTCATTCTGTATTTTCCAGGGTCAAAACATTTTTGGGCTTGATATCATTGAAACACCAGAAGGAGACAAGATGCCACAACTGATCGTTCAAAAGGAGTTAGATAGGGAAGAGAAGGATACATATGTAATGAAACTAAAGGTTGAAGATGGTGGCTTTCCTCAAAGATCCAGTACTGCTATTTTGCAAGTCAGTGTTGCTGATATAAATGATAACCACCCAGTGTTCAAGGAGAATGAGATTGAAGTCAGTATACCAGAAAATGCTCCTGTAGGTACTTCAGTGACACAGCTCCATGCCACAGATGCCGACATAGGTGAAAATGCCAAGATTCACTTCTATTTCAGCAATCTAGTTTCCAACATTGCCAAGAGGCTGTTTCACCTCAACACCACCACCGGGCTTATCACAATCAAAGAACCACTGGATAGGGAGGAATCACCAAATCACAAGTTACTGGTTTTGGCAAGTGATGGTGGATTGATGCCAGCAAGAGCAATGGTGATAGTAAATGTAACAGATATCAATGACAACGTCCCATCAATTGACATAAGATACATCATCAATCCAATCAATGGCACTGTGGTTCTTTCAGAAAATGCTCCACTCAACACCAAAATTGCTCTCATAACAGTGACAGATAAGGATGCTGACCATAACGGTAGGGTGACATGCTTCACAGATCATGATGTCCCTTTCAGATTAAGGCCAGTATTCAGTAATCAGTTCCTCCTAGAGACTGCTGCATATCTTGACTTTGAGTCCACAAGAGAATATGCCATTAAATTACTGGCCGCAGATGCTGGCAAACCTCCTTTGAATCAGTCATCCATGCTCCTTGTCAAAGTAAAAGATGAAAATGACAATGCTCCAGTTTTTACCCAGCCTTTCATAAGTGTTTCCGTTCTTGAGAATAACTATCCTGATGCCCAGTTGACAAAAATAAGTGCAACGGATGCAGACACTGGGCGTAATGCTGAGATTAGTTACCTGCTAGACATTGATGCTCCACCTGAATTCAACCTGGACCGTCGTACAGGCATTCTGACTGCAGTGAAGAAACTTGATAGAGAAAAACAGGAAAAATACAACTTCACAGTTCTGGCAAAAGATAACGGAATGCCACCTTTAATAACCAATGTCACAGTTTTAGTGACGGTTCTTGATCAGAATGACAACAGTCCGATTTTCACTCACAATGAGTACAACTTCTATGTCCCAGAAAACCTTCCAAGGCATGGAACAGTAGGACTAATCACTGTAACTGATCCTGATTATGGAGAAAATTCTGCAGTCACTCTCTCCATTGTAGATGTGAATGATGACTTCACCATTGATCCACAGACTGGTGTCATCAGACCAAATATTTCATTTGATAGGGAGAAACAAGAATCTTATACTTTCTATGTAAAGGCTGAGGATGGCGGTAGGGTATCACGTTCTTCAACAGCCAAAGTGACCATAAATGTGGTTGATGTCAATGACAACAAACCAGTGTTTCTTGTCCCTTCTTCCAACTACTCCTATGAATTGGTTCCACCATCCACTAATCCAGGCACAGTGGTCTTCACGGTAGTTGCTACTGACAATGACACTGGCATGAATGCAGAGCTTCGTTACAGCATTGTAGGAGGAAACACAAGAGGTCTGTTTATGATTGACCAAACAACAGGCAACATTACAATGAAGGAGAAATGTGTTCTTGCAGACCTTGGTTTACACAGACTGGTAGTCAAAGCTAAGGACTTAGGACAGCCTGATTCTCTCTTCAATGCTGTAATTGTTAATTTATTTGTGAATGAGTCAGTGACCAATACTACACTGATTAATGAAATGGTGCGCAAAAACATTGAAACACCAGTAACCCAAAATATTGAGATAGCTGATGCATCCTCACCAACCACTGACTATGTCAAGATCATGGTTGCCATTGTTGCTGGCACCATAACTGTCATCCTTGTTATTTTCATCACTGCCGTAGTAAGATGCCACCAATCACCACACCTTAAGGCTGCTCAGAAAAACAAGCAGAATTCTGAATGGGTTACACCAAACCCAGAAAATAGGCAGATGATAATGATGAAGAAAAAGAAGAAGAAGAAGAAGAAACATGCCCCTAAGAACTTGCTGCTTAATTTTGTCACAATAGAGGAAACTAAGGCAGATGACGCTGACAATGACGGAAACAGCGTCACACTAGACCTTCCAATTGAGCTGGAAGAGCAAACCATGGGCAAGTACAACTGGGGCACCACACCTACCACTTTCAAGCCTGACAGCCCTGATTTGGCTCGGCACTACAAATCTGCCTCTCCACAGCCTGCCTTCCAGATCCAGCCAGAAACACCCCTGAATTCAAAGCACCACATCATCCAGGAACTGCCTCTTGATAACACCTTCGTGGCCTGTGATTCCATCTCCAAGTGCTCCTCCAGCAGTTCTGATCCCTACAGCGTTTCTGAGTGCAGCTATCCGGTGACAACTTTCAAGACCCCTGTGTCTGTGCACACCAGACCGGTAGGTAATCCCAGTTTCTAACTAACCTTTTAAGCTTTATTTTAGTTTTTTAAATTATTTTCAATTGAAGTAAAACTTTTCAGAATCTATTGATTCAACAAGGGATCAAAATGATCATATTTTGCAGAAGTATCCAGATAGATACATATATTCATTTTAGGTTTGGTAGAAAAATGACAACAAATAACTCCTGATTGTAGGGAAACTTGGTTAGAATGGTGATTATAATAGGGCCAATGTTGTCTGTAGATGGCAGTATGACACTTCTTGCTAGAGAATATACTGGACAAACTCCAAAATAAAGGGTCATGGCACTGTCCTCAGTACCATGGTGTGCATGAGGATCAGAACAGTCAGGGTTAGCTAGATACATCACAGTGAAGTTTTTTAGAATATGGTAAGGAGGTCTTAATGGTGTTGAGAATCCCATCTTCACTTGGGAAAATCTGTATCTGCCCAAGATACTCAAATAACATCAAGATATTCTCCCTATCCACCATGCCCCCAACCCCCACAATGAAAACAGAGTGTTATTTTCAGATTAGGAACTCACCATTATTGTGGTTCATAAAATCTATATTCACACAATGTAACAAGAATAGCATTAGAAAAATGAAGTCTTGCTACTCACTCTCATCTTCAAGCCAGAGAATGAAATATGTAAGAGATCTGTATTTTAGATATTCATTTAAGTTTTTGCATATTTATGCAAGGTATTGAGAGCCTTTCAGGATACATTCTTAAAATATAATGACTTACGAAAATGAAATATGTTTTCTTTCTCTAATGGACCTGAAGGAAAATATGTGCATATTAAGACCCAAGAAATCTGTGTACAATAATTTAAAACCCAGTAAATTTAGGAAAACAAAAGTTTAGACAGTGCTTTTTATCTGTAATCCATGGAGAAATGAACAAAAATTTATCTCAAAATTCATAAGTAAATTAAATGATTTAAATCTGGTTATTTCCTTAATAAAGTCAAATGATGGAGTTTATCTACTTTTTTTTTCTCAAAGTCATGCTACATGTTGGCATTATTATTTTGTTTGTGTAACTTTTAAACAGATTCTCATCCCAGTTTCAGTGAATGAAAGACTTTGAAACCTATTCAGGGTTAACAAAGTGGTAGTAATGTGAAAGTCAGTACAGGTTTCCTCTCACCAAAGTTAGAGATATTAACGAAGCTTATCAGGATTCAAAATAACAATGAAAATAATTTACCATATTTTAAGAAATGGTTTTACAAATTGAGGTCATTGAAGGATATGCATAGTTAAATTATACAATAACATTAATTCTTCTCTCTTAAGCACACAGTGAAGGTAAGATACTAATTCAATTGTGGATGCATTTTTGTTACTATACGTTCATAGCTAAGCTGTTGCAAATGATAAAATAGAACCCTAGTCTCTAGAATTTCTGTTATGCTTTGAATGACTTAGAGGACAGTGCTTGTTTGTATAATTCCAATGAGCCCCATGTTTTCCTACTTCAGTGTATCTTAGATGATGACAAACAATACAATAGATGCCTAACATTTCCTCTGGGTGTGTTTTTGTTCCTATGTAACCATTGAAAAGGGCACTCTCGTTTTCTGATTGATGTTGTTATTATTCTGTTCATTGGTAACATTTTTCAACAGAAAAGCATCCTTTATGAATAACACTATATGTGTGTTGTGTATTCTAATAGCACTTTCCCTTGGACTAAAATTGTGACTTGCTTAACAACTTATACAAAGGGTGAGGTTTGTGAATTACATCTGCATATCATCATTTTTAATAGATTGGCCCATGAAGTTTGTTAAAAGAGGAAGTTCTGGTTTCACCTGTTTTTGAAGGCATGGAGATATTCGATAAGATAAACTTATTTTACTTGAGTATATGGGGGCTGACAATTAAGTTCGCAAACATTTCCTAGAAAAAGTGCTACATACCTCATTGCTGAGTATCACTACAGCCACCTCTGAAGTACTCCCCTTGGGAAGCAATGCACTGACGCCAGTGCTTAATCCACCCTTCAAAGTAATTTTGGAACTATTTTTCTGGAATAGCCATCAGAGCTGTCGTCGTACTACACTTGATGTCTTGAATGTCATCAAAATGTCTTCTTTTCAATATTTCCTTTATTTTTGTGTAAAGAAAGAAGTCATTGGGGGCCAGATCAGGTGAGTAGGGATGGTGTCCCAATACAGTTATTTGTTGACTGGCTAAAAACTCCCTCATAGACAGTGCATTGTGAGCTGGTGCATTATTGTGATGCAAGAGCCATGAATTGTTAGTGACATGTTAAGGTAGTCTAACTTTTTCAAGCAGCCTTTTCAGCACTTCCAAATAGTAAACTTGGTTAACTGTTTGTCCAGTTGGCACAAATTCATAATGAATAGTTCCTCTGATGTAAAAAATGGTTAGCAACATGGTTGCAACAAAGTTCGTGAACTTCATTGTCAGACCCTATATATATAGTAAGCAAGGTGTGGATGAAGGAAAAGAATTGAAATATTTTCCAAATATCCTTCTCTTTTTATTTTTTAGGTATTTTGTAACCTTCAAAAACTCAATAACATTAATAAGTTTTTCCATGATGGCATCTTTGGTTTTTTTAACAAAGAGATATTTTCCTAAACACAGACAAGTAACTTCATGAGACAGGCAAATTATGAAAATTAAATGGTAATGAGAATAAGTTTTTGGTTATCATTAGGTTTTTATTAGCTAAAAGGACAATCTTAGAATCAGTGAGTTCTCAGGTGACTTATTCTATTTTTTCACATCTTAAAACCAGGTAAATTGTATATTTTATGTCTTTGGTTCACAGTTGGTTCAGATTAATTACTAAATATATTCTGGACGTGAATTGGTGAACTTAGGCAGATTAATATGATACTAAAAAACTTGGCTCCTTATATTTTGTGCTACATTTGCAATTGCAATGTTTTTAACCCTTTCTATGCACTCTTTAATTTCTGATTAATGCCAGGAGTGGCATCTTATATTCACTGATGTTGCAGAATGTGACAAGATGAGTGATAAATAAAATAAAATAAAAATTCATTGTTCCTTAGGGAAATTTTGACAGCGGAATAAAATACTACTGCTAGCAGAAGGCCAGAAATATTCAAATTGATTTTAAACAAAGAAAAAAGTGTATTTTAATAGGGGGAGTTTATGGTTATTTTTACATTTAATTTATTACTCATCTGAAAATGAAAATGAAAGGAAATGGTTCTATTAGGCTGTAAGATATAAGAGGATTTAGCAGATATTTCGTGTTTTAAAACGGGGGTCAAATATTTTCTATGTTTTTTATGACTCTGGTATTCAGAAAAAATATGGAATATTTTTTGGATAGAAATGTCTCTATTGGGAAAAAAAAGGCATTTATACCTGGGGAACATGATGCTCCTTCTTGGTAGAAATTTTTAGAAGTATTCTGGAAGTCATTTTTGTACATATTGTAGTAGAAATGAAAAACATGAAATTTAAAGATGATTTTACAGTTTACCTTCAATTAATATCTTTCAGAGCAAGTAGATAGCATTTGGTTGGCATGACTCTAGGAAAACAGTGTCACCATTTTAGAATCAATTTTGATAATTGTTTTATAAAAGAGATATACTGCCAAAACCATGTCTTACTTAACACAGTTTTCCCATTAAAATATTGTGAATACTATACACTTGAAAAATAGAGGAAAGTAAAAATGGAAGCACCATTTTTTGAGGGCCCTCTATGTACCAGTCACTGTCTTAGACATGTATTTGAGGTACTTCATTTCTAAAAACCAAAAAGAAAGGAAAGGAAAAAAGAAAAAAATAAGTCTAACAAATTTATGTGATTGGAGTTGGAATAGTGTTGCAGTTTCGGAAATGAGGTAAAAGAATGATGGGAGGTTTGGATGGTTATAATTCATGGATGTAAACCCTGCCTGTAGGTATTATACATGGATTCAAAATGGTAACAGGAGTCTGCATTAGATTGAAATAGGATTTGTATTCACTACTGTTAAATTCATTAACTTTGATTTTGTGCATCTATATTTTAGTAATTTGAATTTTATCCATGTAGCATGCTTGGCAACTAAGACTCCAAGAACACATCCATCTGATTTTGATAATGTGTTATTTTTCTTGTCCTAGACCGATTCCAGGACATCAACTATTGAAATCTGCAGTGAGATATAACTTTCTAGGAACAACATAATTTCATACCCCTTCCAAAAAACTCCAGTGATTTGTGATTTCAAAATTTGTCTAAGATCATTAATTTTCTAATTTGGATTTTCAATTATAAAGGCAAGCAAAACAAAAATTACCTTAAACCCCATTGAACCTTATGCGTACTTTAGCTGTAATCTCCCAATCAAAATTTAAAATTTGTGGAAGAAACAGTGTAGCATAATAAATGAGCTTTATCATGCTGTTTCTCCCTTTGTTTCCTCTGAATGTGAACAACTGTGATGTAATATAATGTTATCCTGGTGTACAAACTGATGGTTCCTATTTCAATCATGAAACATGGAATTACTTGCCCTGTCTGATTGCTGAAGGGATTAAACATCATCTCGGGGAGTTTGGAAGTGAAGCTGAACTATCCAAGCTCTACCCTCTGAAAGGCATTCAGGGCAAGATATTTTTTTAAGACTAAAACAAACAACAAAAAAACACTTCAGGTTTTTTTGTTTGAAATATTCACTAAAATAGTGTTGTTGAGAACATTTTAATTACCCATCACTCTGTTTAAAAGTTGGATGATATAAAATAATCTTATTGGGTTTTTATATTGATTGTAATCATGTTCCACTACTTTAATCATTAAAAAATATTTTTGTTGTAATCATGTTTCCTTTTTCTATAAACACTGAAGTTTTTATTTTTATTTATCAAAAGGAGAATGTAAAGTTCTTTATACTCCCTCATATTTTGAAAAAAAGTATTGATATTTTTTGTGTAATGAAACATAACCCCAGTCATATGAAAGTGGAAACAAGGATTTAGATAGTATATTTTAAAAGATTTTATCAATTTTGAAACTTCCTAGGAAAATATAAGGTACTAGAGTCACATCTAAACAGATCTATTTTGTTTCTCTGGCATTAAATTACTGAATATATTTCATTGCTTTGAGTAATTTGTCCTTTAAAATTAACTCATTTTTCACAGTATGTCGGTTAATTCATTTCCTACACAAATGAATGAATGCTTCAAATAGAATGTGAATTACATTCTATTGAGGAAAGAATGACACGTCCAATCTTCCCTTGTATTCTTTAACCTGCTTATGACTTACTAACACTACTAACAGAATTAAAAACAAAACAAAACAAAAAACATGATTTCTTGGGACATAAAGGGGAGTATAAAGGACCTTTATAATCAAGACTAATATATGTTTCTTAGATGCTTTGATGTATATTGTTTTACCTTGCAAAGTGTGAATAGGATTTGGTCAATTATGTATGTATATAAAATTAGTGTATTATTTGATGTGTTCTTTGATGTAAAGGTATTTAGAAGAAGTTTATGCTCTAGTGTAGTTCTTGCATTTTTGATATATAGGTAATATTTTAAACAGGCTTCTGTTAAAATTTAGCATTCCCATTTACTCAATACAGAACTCTTTGTACCTCCAATACTGTCAGGTTCCTTGAATATATTTGCTATCTGGCTTTTTAAACATCACTCAGTTAATTATAATGACTGTGAGTGTAACTATTTTATTGGTAATGAGAAATGTCATGTAAGTTACAATATTGTCTTACATACTTATAAACAACTGTTGTAGAAAAACACTTTAAATTAAAATTTACCTTTGTGAAAGTTATTCACATAGAATAACTTTATAATAGAATAACTTTATAATCCCTTTCTCACTTTTTTCTGATAAAGTATTTCAAGTTTAATTTTAATCATTCTACAGAATGTCAAAACTGAGCCAACTTATTATACCACTAGAATCGGTGCCCTGCAGGTACTAAGAGTAGGAGTTTCCAAAATCCAGTCTTGATTAAATTGTGAATAAAATGATGCCCAAGAAAATGAAGCAGTACTTCAAAGTCCCATAATAAACAACTGTGGCTTCATCACCATTGGCACATGTATTATTATATAAATTATATAAATTTTAATTCCTTGTGTCATGACCACCCTGGTTTCTAGTTTTCTGCACACACGCTGTGAGCTAAGGGAGAACACCTCATTTTTCTTCCATTTCAGTGACCCTTCAAATATGACTGTAATAAGAAAAACTCTTAATCACTCTTCTGTGTATATCAAGATGAAAATGCCTTGAAATAGTTATCCAGAATTTCTAAAAATATATTCAATATTTTCTTGGGTGTCATCTTTGTAGAAGATAAAAATAGTAACTTTGTTGTTAAAGTTATGACTCCATTTCTCAGAATACAACTTCTATGAGAAAGGAACTTCTAAACTGATTTCTTTCCTGTTCTTTGAGGCTAAAATATTTACCCATATAAACCAATGACGATTGAGATTTAACCATATTTAAAATGGGTCATATATGAAAATTGATTCTGCTTTTGCCTATTAACTACCCTTGCTCATGCTTGAGGAAATAATATTACCATTTGAGAACAATATGGATGACACTGAAACTAGTTTTCCTCAAAAGCCATAAAGAACAAAAATATATTTTCATCCTTGATTCCCATTTATGAATTGATTTGGTGGCATTTTTAGTTTAATTATTATTACATGTTTGGCTTATCAGGTCTCAGATACCTTATCATCTTTGTTTTGGCATTAATGGACTCCTGGAATATTCCCAATGAAATGTCCTTGATGGTTTCTCTGGTTCTTATTCTTCTTAGTGAATAGAGAAAAACAGAAGGAATGCAAATCTTAAGAGTAGTAATCACAGATTTTTAAAAAATAAACTTTTAGTGAACTTAGTCTAGTGAAAAATAAGTAAACTATCTAATTGATGAACTACAATGTGCTTCATATTTTCATCCCTGCAAATACTCAAAAAAGTATTATTTTCCTTTGATTAAAATCCATAGTGCATAAATTTAAAAAAGTGATAATATACATTCCACCATTTTACTTTAAATATAAAAGTTTATTTTTATAAGTAGGATATTCAAGCCATTACATTTCTTAAATTATTTTTATTTTCAGTGTTTTAAATTTTAAAATGTATGAACAATTTTAATTCTATTAATTAATCTTTTATGTATTCATCTTCTGTTTTAGTGTGTGTGTGTGTGTGGGGGGGCTACCCTGTCTACATTATCAATGGGAACGCATATACTTTAGAATAATTTTTAAAAGTTGAATTTAGATTCAATCAACCACCACAATTTTGCACAGGATTTTTACTCATCTTTTCATTTCAACACAAAATAATACTGCCTCACTTTACTATTTTGTTGCCTGCACTCATCACAGTTTAATTAGATTTTTAAATTGCGTGTCAAGCTAGGTATGATATGAAGCCTGATCTCAACAGAAATATTACAAGATAAGCAGATCTAAAGAAATCTTACATGAACTTAAGTCACACTCTGTAAATACTTCTTATAGGTGCTCTTGTGTAATAGATAGGTTTTCTTAGATTTTGTGAAGCTTGGTTTTGTCTATTTTAAATATTTAGATTTAGGTTTCTAGCATATTCCAAGGTGCTGTGATAATATAAAGCTGTATGTGTTGTATATAATTATTATTTTTAAAAAGATATATTGTGAAATTTGATTTTCCATGTTTTATGGGTGTGTATACCTGACATCCATGGTTTCAGGGGGCTTTTAGAACTTGAAGTAGACTTTTTAAATTATAGAATAGTCAAAGGATTTTATTTTTATTGTATATGCAATAGACATTCATTGTAAAATTTAGGAAATTGTAGATAGGTTTTAGGAGAACACTTAAAATTATCCAATTTTATTTCAAGTGATATCAGTATGTTCTTCCTTATAACTCACTTAGTAATTTTGTTTAAAGGCTCTATAACCTTGGAAGTGGTGCACTTTAAAATTACAGAATTTTTCTGTTCTTTTATATTACAAACTATGCATGCAAAAATTTTTACACATGGTGATAACTGATGTATCTTCTATGCATCTTATTTTTATAGATGTGTGATTGGACAAATTCATGTAATAGTATAGTTTGATGAGCTGAAAGTGTAATACAGAATCCCACTACATATCTCCACTAGGAGACAAACCTCCCTGAAGTGAAAATATCAAGTTTTGAGAAAAAAACTTTTTTTTTTTTAAGCGGAGTCATCCTGCCACCTGTTGGCAGCTCAGCGGCAGCTCAGCTTGGGCCAGGCATCGAACCACTGTTGCTCAGAGCTCGCACTCTTGAGTGACCTGTTAACCAACTGAGCCACTCGGCCGGCCCCCGAGATAAAAACATTTTTAATTAAAAAGAATGCCATCTAAATTTCTGCCCAAAATTTCCTTAGAATGAACAAGCAAGTTACTTAATTATTTTCAACTATTCTCATAACCAACTCCTACCTTTTTAATATTCTATTGGGTTGTCGGAAAAGTCATGATGTGTTTTTGCAATGAAAGACGTAGAAAAAATACGTCATGACTTTTCTGACAACCCAATAGATAGTCTCAATTAAAATCACTTTAACTGTCCCTTTTTAAGTGGTTAATTATATTTAATTATCCACACATATAAAGGTACTATTTAATTGGGTGTAAAACTTTTTTTGTCAAGTCAAAAAAATCATATTTCATTAGGTTTCAGATAGTCAAATTGACGTAATAATGAAAATGAAGTATTTCAATGGGTATTCTAGAAATATTTGCACTTTTCTCCCTTGTCCTGAAGCCTTATATTTATTAATCATTCATTGATTTACTTCATAAAATGTTATTCTCTTTGAAATGCAGTTAAAATCATTTTTATTCTTTTTGTCTTAATATTTGACAAAAGCATTAGCTAACAAAATAATGTTTTCATTAGATACTCAATTAGATAAAAGTTTAAGTAATACTTCTACTGTATTTGGTGGTAAGTAGAAGTAAATGAATATGCAACTGTGGTGAAAATTATTCTTTTCAGAAATCCATAAAATAAACTTTAAAATGTAATTACTTGTCTTATTACATATTAGTTCTAACCTCCATTTCAAAATCAATACAGATCACCATTTTAATAACACTTTATAACTAAAGAGAATTGATCATAAACATTGTCACTTTACACAAAAATATTTTCAGCAGTCCAAACATACAGCTCAAATAGCTGTTCAGTGTTACAACTTTGAAATCATTAAAATTAAAAAAAAAAAAAACTTATTTAACCAGCTCTTTGGTATGTAAACACAGACCTGGTCTCATATTCAAGGTGGGAAAAATACACAAAAATGGAGTTCCATGATTTTGGAAAACTAATATATCAATTCCTAAGTTAGAGGTTATATTTCATTATTAATTTTATTCATTTGATCATGTCATTGAGAACTACATATTGAGTGCCTTTTTTGCAGAAAATTGTATACATCATTTACTCTGTTTAGATTGAATAATTACATTTTTTCATACAATACAGTTAGTTATTCAAGAAAATGTGCTGAGTTCTCTTCCAGATAGGTATCATGGCTTTGTCTACATGGTGCTAAAACATCTGGTGGTAAAATACAATTTTTCATTGATGATGGGGATATTTTCTCTACCTGACAAAATGGCTTGACTTTATAGACATGAACTTTATTTAATGCTACAGAATAATAATTTGT